TTCAAAAAAATATTTAAATAATTATCCTAGTATCCAAAGGATCGAATATTTTGAAGGTCAGACTACTTACTTTAATGCTATATTTGAAATTCTAGTGCCTTAAATTTTATACGTTTTTGCAATATCATAGGATTTCTGCACTAAAACTGCTTAAAATTTAAAGAGACATACCTTTTCATCTTCACTTAAATATCACAGTGTGCATCATAAATGCACACTGCACAAACACAAGTTAGGTAGGATATTCACAAAATAAAACTGTTACTTCCTGATCAGAAAATAACACAAAAGTCAAAGGATAAATGTAAAATGTGGACTACGTAGTGGTAATGACAACATTTATTGCAGATTCTCACTCTCATATTGATTACTATTTTGATCTCATGAATATTCTCAGAAATTCAATGCTTTTTAATTAAAATATATGTATGTGACTCGCAGTGGCAGTATTTTGCCCCAAGGTTGTGGTTCCCATCAGTGGAAAGATTTCAGATGACTTTAACAGGCTTTGGACTGGGTTGACAACATGTGAGGTATATTCACCAACAAAGCTGACTTTGTAAAGACTCTTTGTCTTTGGAGGAGTAGTAGATCTAGATATAAAAACCACTTCTGATTAATATAAAAGATAAAGACCTTAATGAAATGCACACTAACAAGAGACATATGCACAAAAAAACTTGAAGAGGTTTTACATCTTCGTCTACCCAGTGTCTGGGGAAACCTGCAAGGTTCCCAAGTGATAAGTGCCATCAAGCAGCACAATAAAAATGTTTTACTCAGCAATTCTACATCATGCATAAACCCGCTCTTTTAACAGGTGTCCCCTGAAGATCAAGTAGTTATTTTGATATTTGTTGACAGTTGGTCCAGCTTCCAATGGAAATTATGGGTGTTAGGATTAATAAATTTATTCTGCTGTAAATCTCTGGATAATAGGTGGGAGAGTGAAATGGCAAATACTGAAAAGGTGAAAAGCCCAAATGATTGAAACAGATATGTAATTTACCTCTGAATTCAAATTGTCAACATTTTAGAGTAACAGTGACTATGTTTCTGCCAATAATGTTTAGCACAAAAATGGAGTTTCAGTTTTCCTATGTTGTAGCAGTAGTTCTGCGAGAATTCAGAATGCCAGAGAACTGGAACTCCAGATATTTTTGTTGGTTGTTGGTTTGGTTTTTGGTTTTTTTTTTTAGCTTTGTTATGGCTTACTTTTAAAAAAGTGCAGTGACTATGTCAGAAGAATGATTATGTAGTGCTCTGATGTCCAGGGATTTTTTTTTTTCTAGAGAACAGAAACACCTATAAAGAATTTAATTAAACAAATCAGATGCTAGCATATGAAAAAATAAAAAAAAAACAACCAGTAGGCACTCAGTCAAGAAAACATGCAGAGTAGATTTCCTTGAAAGGAAGATTATACTAGGATCAGTTCTAGTTCAATGCAAATCTTTGTAAGCAGGCAATCAAAAGCTGGCTCAGATGCTTTATGAGGAAATTCATATGTTACTGTATCACAAAATCACATAATCACAGACTAGTAGAGGTTGGATGGGTCCTCTGGAGATGATCTAGTCTAACCCCTCTGCCAAAGCAGGTTTACCTAGATCAGGCTGGACAGAAACGTGTCCAGGTGGGTTTTGAATATTTCCAGAGAAGGAGACTCCACAACCTCCCTGGGCAGCCTGTTCCAGTGCTCTGCCACCCTCAAAGTAAAGAATTTTTTCCTTATGTTTAGATGGAATTTCCTGTGTTTCAGTTTGTCCCCATTGCCCCTTGTCCTGTTGCTGAGCACCACTGAAAAGAATCTTGGCCTTATCCTCTTGACACACACACTTTAGATGATTATATGTATTGATGAGATCCCCCCCTTCACTCTTCTCTTCTCTAGGCTCAACAGACCTAGGTCTCTCAGCCTTTCCTCATGAGAGGTGCTCCAGTCCCCTGACCATTTTTGTAGTCTCTGCTGAACTTCCTCTAGTAGTTCCTTGTCTTTCTTGAACTGGGGGTCCCAGAACTGGACACAGTACTCCAGATGTGGCCTCACTAAGGCAGAGTAGAGGAGGAGGATAACCTCCCTCGACTTGCTGGCCACATAATGCACCCCAGGAGACCATTGGTCTTCTTAGCTTTGTTATGGCTTACTTTTAAAAAAGTGCAGTGACTATGTCAGAAGAATGATTATGTAGTGCTCTGATGTCCAGGGATTTTTTTTTTTCTAGAGAACAGAAACACCTATAAAGAATTTAATTAAACAAATCAGATGCTAGCATATGAAAAAATAAAAAAAAAACAACCAGTAGGCACTCAGTCAAGAAAACATGCAGAGTAGATTTCCTTGAAAGGAAGATTATACTAGGATCAGTTCTAGTTCAATGCAAATCTTTGTAAGCAGGCAATCAAAAGCTGGCTCAGATGCTTTATGAGGAAATTCATATGTTACTGTATCACAAAATCACATAATCACAGACTAGTAGAGGTTGGATGGGTCCTCTGGAGATGATCTAGTCTAACCCCTCTGCCAAAGCAGGTTTACCTAGATCAGGCTGGACAGAAACGTGTCCAGGTGGGTTTTGAATATTTCCAGAGAAGGAGACTCCACAACCTCCCTGGGCAGCCTGTTCCAGTGCTCTGCCACCCTCAAAGTAAAGAATTTTTTCCTTATGTTTAGATGGAATTTCCTGTGTTTCAGTTTGTCCCCATTGCCCCTTGTCCTGTTGCTGAGCACCACTGAAAAGAATCTTGGCCTTATCCTCTTGACACACACACTTTAGATGATTATATGTATTGATGAGATCCCCCCCTTCACTCTTCTCTTCTCTAGGCTCAACAGACCTAGGTCTCTCAGCCTTTCCTCATGAGAGGTGCTCCAGTCCCCTGACCATTTTTGTAGTCTCTGCTGAACTTCCTCTAGTAGTTCCTTGTCTTTCTTGAACTGGGGGTCCCAGAACTGGACACAGTACTCCAGATGTGGCCTCACTAAGGCAGAGTAGAGGAGGAGGATAACCTCCCTCGACTTGCTGGCCACATAATGCACCCCAGGAGACCATTGGTCTTCTTTGCCACAAGGGCACATTGCTGGCACATGGTCAACTTGTTGTCCACCAGGACTCCCAGGTCCTTTTCCACATAGCTGCTTTACAACAGGCCAACCCATGACCTGTGCTGGTGCAAGGGGTTATTCCTCCCTAGCTGCAGGACCCTACACTTGCCTTTGTTGGACTTCATTAGGTTCCTCTCCGCCCAACTTGCTAACCTGTCCAAGTCTCACTAAATGGCAGCAGAGCCTTCTGGTGTGTCAGCCATTCCTCCCAGATTCGTATCATCAGCAAACTTTCACTACGAATATAGAATCATAGAATGGTTAGAGTTGGAAGGGACCTTAAAGATCATCAAGTTCCAACACCTCTGCCATGGGCTGGGACACCTCCTGCTAGACCAAGTTGCTCAGAACCTCATCCAGCTTGGTCTTGAATGCTTCCAGGGATGGGGCATCCACAACTATATCACAGAATTATCAGAGTTGGAAGGAACCTCTAGAGATCATCTAGTCCAGCTCCCAAATATATCACACTATGAAGTTTATTTGGGAGAGGGGTCACATTCCAGAAAGGTACTCTTGACCAGAATTCTTCAGTTTCCTTCCTATTATGCCTCTGCACAATATTGTTCAAATCTTCATGTAACCAACACTCATTCTGCGTATAAAGATAGCCAGTAGAGCAGAAAAGTGAAGCTTCTCCTTGTCGTTCAGTTGTATCATGGCCCTGATTCGTATCATCAGCAAACTTTCACTACGAATATAGAATCATAGAATGGTTAGAGTTGGAAGGGACCTTAAAGATCATCAAGTTCCAACACCTCTGCCATGGGCTGGGACACCTCCTGCTAGACCAAGTTGCTCAGTTACCTAGATCAGGCTGGACAGAAACGTGTCCAGGTGGGTTTTGAATATTTCCAGAGAAGGAGACTCCACAACCTCCCTGGGCAGCCTGTTCCAGTGCTCTGCCACCCTCAAAGTAAAGAATTTTTTCCTTATGTTTAGATGGAATTTCCTGTGTTTCAGTTTGTCCCCATTGCCCCTTGTCCTGTTGCTGAGCACCACTGAAAAGAATCTTGGCCTTATCCTCTTGACACACACACTTTAGATGATTATATGTATTGATGAGATCCCCCCCTTCACTCTTCTCTTCTCTAGGCTCAACAGACCTAGGTCTCTCAGCCTTTCCTCATGAGAGGTGCTCCAGTCCCCTGACCATTTTTGTAGTCTCTGCTGAACTTCCTCTAGTAGTTCCTTGTCTTTCTTGAACTGGGGGTCCCAGAACTGGACACAGTACTCCAGATGTGGCCTCACTAAGGCAGAGTAGAGGAGGAGGATAACCTCCCTCGACTTGCTGGCCACATAATGCACCCCAGGAGACCATTGGTCTTCTTTGCCACAAGGGCACATTGCTGGCACATGGTCAACTTGTTGTCCACCAGGACTCCCAGGTCCTTTTCCACATAGCTGCTTTACAACAGGCCAACCCATGACCTGTGCTGGTGCAAGGGGTTATTCCTCCCTAGCTGCAGGACCCTACACTTGCCTTTGTTGGACTTCATTAGGTTCCTCTCCGCCCAACTTGCTAACCTGTCCAAGTCTCACTAAATGGCAGCAGAGCCTTCTGGTGTGTCAGCCATTCCTCCCAGATTCGTATCATCAGCAAACTTTCACTACGAATATAGAATCATAGAATGGTTAGAGTTGGAAGGGACCTTAAAGATCATCAAGTTCCAACACCTCTGCCATGGGCTGGGACACCTCCTGCTAGACCAAGTTGCTCAGAACCTCATCCAGCTTGGTCTTGAATGCTTCCAGGGATGGGGCATCCACAACTATATCACAGAATTATCAGAGTTGGAAGGAACCTCTAGAGATCATCTAGTCCAGCTCCCAAATATATCACACTATGAAGTTTATTTGGGAGAGGGGTCACATTCCAGAAAGGTACTCTTGACCAGAATTCTTCAGTTTCCTTCCTATTATGCCTCTGCACAATATTGTTCAAATCTTCATGTAACCAACACTCATTCTGCGTATAAAGATAGCCAGTAGAGCAGAAAAGTGAAGCTTCTCCTTGTCGTTCAGTTGTATCATGGCCCTGTCATAGACAAACCTATATTTTACAGTTACATACTTAATGGTTAAAACACGTATCTTAGTGTCTTCACACGTAACAGATCACAAAGCAACCCAAAAACGTGCGCTGAAAGAAAGCAATTAATAAGTTGCCTACCCGTGGCTGTCAGCCATTTATCCAGGTGCTTAGTGTGCCATGTCTGAGCACCCTACAAAGATTAATGTGGTTTTTCAACACCTTTGTTCAGGAGTAGGCTCATTTTCTAAGTGCAGAAGCAATCCAAGGAAAAACAAATCGCTCACACCAAGTCAGGAAAAGTTGCTGGAGGTGAAAATTGAGCAGAGGTCTCCCAGCCCCAGATGTGGTGCCTTGATGATCCTCTCTTGATGGCCCTTTCTCTCAAATACACCCCTTTCCTCATCTCAACATGAAGGATTCTGCAACATTCAACAAAAAGTAAAGTACAGATAGCTACCCAAAACAAACTGGGGAAATCTTTCTGCCTTGTCCCTAACCAGTAAGTTCTGCAGCAGGATTAATGCTACCACATACTAATGGGGTGTATTTTAACTTCTCAGTGCTGAGTGTTACCACCATTGCTGTGTGACTAGTAAAACACAGTGCAAAACACCTTTTCTATTTAGGGATGCCTGCCCCATCCTATATGCCCACCCTCACTTCAAAGGTACAAATAATCCAAAATGAACTATCTGTTTTGAATGCTATTGAAATAAGCATTAATTCAATTAAACCCAAGCAGTAACTGAGGCAGGTTAAAGAGTCCTGAGGAAACAAAATTGTTAGTGAATCCATACCTTTGCCTGTCCTTGAGCGTTCTCAGAATTGCCAGTTTAAATCTTGGAACTTCACAGAGAGCTAACCGGTGGAAGGAATTCAAACTGGTCATGTAATGGGACATGAAGCAACAGCCATGAGGGTCAGACTCTGCTTTCATTAAAGCCAATGTCCATTTCGATGCTAGGAATAGTAGAGAAACTCTCTGAAAGAGCTGTTATTCCACACAGGGTGATTATGTTTCTCCTAAAAAAGAGAAGATGACAGCCTGAACAACCAAAACCTAAGCTGTGGCTAGAGAACAGGGTGATGATGAGAAAAGAACAATATTCAGAGTGACTCAATCAATGTGATGACATGTTTTCCAGAGCTGGACTTTTCAGGCAAACATAAAGACTGCATTTGCTGTGCCACCTCTGCACTACCAGAAGGTCTCTCTTGGATTCCAGTTTGCAGTAGCACAGCTTTGGGAGGACCACACCTTTCCCACGTGAAGCCCTACAACTGAGCTAGGCTCCTTGTGTGACTAACAGAAAGAGATGGACAAATTAAACCCACCCTAAAAATAATGTGGACAAATTGTGCTCTGATAGCTTGATAGCTTTTTTTTTTCCTCTCTGGTCTCTTGACAAAGTTGGAAGCACGGACATGCAGCTTAGACTTTTGGATGGCCAAAGTTAGGAACAGAGAAGCCAGTTCATAGCCTCTGTATTTTGGAGCTGCAGAAGAGAAATCAGAAAACTTAGAAAAATTACCATCAAATTCAAATTGTCAAGCTTAGCAGCAATTGCATCAGGGATTTAGTGCAGGATTTGGGCTGGTTGAGAGCACTGTGAAGGAGGGAGGAATAAATAACAAGGCCATGTTCATGTCACCAGATAGTTTATGGGCATAACTAAGTTAAATTAAGACTTGGTAAAATCCTACATTTTTCATCTGTCAGCTAAAAATGATACAACTAGGACATGTTACTGGAACTGACCACCCGTAAATCATGTAAGAGGGAATGGGCTCTTTTGTATCCCGTCAGAATAATATCACCATGTGTTCAAAGGTGAAAGGAAAAATGAGAGTTCATTACTAGTTACTTTATTTTGTTAAAGACCTCAATTCACCTTATCCAGTACCCATTTCTATAAATGTTTGTTGGTACATCTTATCAGATAACATTTTGTTCTGTTAGCATTTTAGGTGCTAAAACTGTTTAGTTTTACAGAATATGAATGACAAACCACTTAGCAGATAAGATGTACCTGTAACTATTTTAGATTAATTAATTGTAAATCTTCATGTTTTCCTGTGTTAGTTTTAAGGCAAGTGCTTCATATAATACATCACTATCAGAATAGGCTATCTAGTTCTCACACTCCTCTTCTCTCAGGAGATTTTTGTTTTTTAAGAATACTGAACAAACTGTCTGCCATTTTCTATTACTCTTTTAAAATCAAAATGAAATTACATTCTCTTAGAAGTCTAAAAATGATAGACTTGAAATTTAATTTTAGAGTCAGTTTTAGCCTGATGATGATAATTACGTTCACTGGCACTTATGTTGATAATTCCTGTCTCTCACAGCAGCTTTTTGTGACATCTTCCCTGTACCTGGGCTTTGGTACTTTGAGAAATGCAAGTATCCACTGTGTCATAACTTTTTCAAAGATGATTTTTATGTTTTTAACAACACTGAGTTGTTTTAAGTTCTAAATTTGCACAATACATAAATAACAAGTTCTTAATTCTGTCTGTCATTTCAAAGGAATAGAAAGAGAATACAATGTGCCTTACCACACTTGTAATCATGACTTCAAAGGTTTACACATATTTTCCTGCTGAAAATATGACACGTTCCTTTTTAAAATTTTGCAGGTTTTTCAGAACAGAAATAAACAGAAAAAAAGAAATAGAAAAGAGAAGCTGAAGATTTTTTGTGCTAATGAAGAGCATTATAAGCATTTCAGGATTCTTATCTTGATAATTCCTGTCTCTCACAGCAGCTTTTTGTGACATCTTCCCTGTACCTGGGCTTTGGTACTTTGAGAAATGCAAGTATAACTAGGGATGCAAGTGCATGAAAACGTACAAAAGTTAGATGTTACGATTTAGCTGCATTTGGGCAACTAATTCTGTGCTTGTATAAATCCTGAGTTTACACTCTTTATGCAATAGACATATGAAGGGAACAGTTTTATTGTTTCATCTCACCTTAAGCTCAAAAATTGTTCCCATATGGCAGTAAGATGAAGACAAAAATTTAGGAGGCTTTTTAAAGATTGCAATAAGCCTGCTGGTGTATCTCATTCCCTCTCTGCAATTATGCATACGTATGCATATATATGCAAATGCATGCATAATCCCTTTTACAAACAGAAGTTTATGAAGTTCTATGTTAACTGAGTTAGGATTTGTGCCTTATCAGATTAGTATTTTTGCTATTCCTATTGGAAAGTTGTTACATTACATTAATCTTCTTGTTGCTACACATTGTCTTTTAATTTCCAGTTGAATTATAATTATGAACCATGTATATTCACTTGTTTCTCCTTATTTCAGTGAAAGCAAGAGAGAAATGGATGTCTATAACAGTCTAGCTAACACATGGGTAGCTAGGACACTCATGCTTGATCAGGCCAGGAGTATAAGTTATCACATTTTAGGCAAACACTGCAGCCTCTGGGCTAGCACCTTTTCTAGGGTAGGTATTCCCAGCTACCAGCCCCAGTTCTAGTCCCACAAAATTCTGCCTTGAACTCAAAGAACCCGCGTTGTTGAAAGTTTTATTGAAGCTGGAATATTCAGGGAAAAAAGAAGCTGTGGTTCTGATGAAGTGTCACTTTCCAACACACATATAAACCATTTCAACGAATGATTCCCGACCACATTTATTACATAACTAAATTTTTAAAGGTACCTCAGAGAATAAGTGAAATAGAGTTGTTATGTTTTCTGAGAGATCTCCTAGCTTCCTGATTTTACTGTGGTTATATTCCTAAGTAGTATGCAGCGTTCTATGGGGCTGTGATTTGCTGAGCAACTGAAAGCATTTTTGTTTGCACTGTTATTTTTAGCCCAGTCCGTATGAGCAAGTTCAAACACTGCTGCCATCTTTTGATTGAAGCAGACTCCCTCTGGGGCAGAGAAACATTGGGACCATAACTGACAAATACATCCATTAGGCAAATGAAGCTTATCTACGCAAAGAAGAGAGAACATCTCTTTTTAATAAGGAAGAGCCAGAAGATGGTAAAGAACCTATTAACTTTACACACTAGTTTTAACCAGATATTGGGTTGGGTCTAGTGCTGAATTTTCCTCACATCACTTTTAATCATCAAGTAGAAAAATTAGAGTATACTCCCATCCTGGAGATTGGATTGGGTACCTGGAGAGAAAAAACACCTGCCCCTTTTCCAGAACTGCTCACAGTTACTTTTATCCATGACCCTGTGAGGTTAGGGCTAGATCCCAAAAGCATAGTCCAACCCCAAAAGACCTGGCGAGCTACGATGATCCGTGACCCTGTGAGGTTAGGGCTAGATCCCAAAAGCATAGTCCAACCCCAAAAGACCTGGCGAGCTACTAGAGCAGTGATGATTAATTTCTTCGGAAGTTTCTGAGTCTTCAAGGGCTGGAGATGATTTCCTCTTTGCTAAAGGTCAGCTTTTACATAACCTATCTGCAATGAGCTACACTCAGGGCTGCGAGCAAGCACAGCTCGAGTGCAGTACAAGAGCAAACAGAAGTAGATACTCAGTGTGAAACTTCACTGAGACAATTAGCAACTTTCAGCTAAATAGTTACAAAGGTCCTGGGCAGGAATTGCCCTTTAAACAAGCTTACACCATGATCAGGGAATGTCAAATTTGGGAGGAAGTTTATTTTTGCAAGCTGTTGAGTGTGATAGGGTGTTTTTCTTTAAATCATAAATCTGCTGACTTTTGTGGAAGCTTTTGGAAACTATGAAACAGGCAATTGTTTCAGTGAGGGGCTTGCTGAAAAATGCCTGATGCTTATCTTTAAATTATTAGTTCAACTAAACAAGAGAGTTTGAATAGCTGTTGGATAGATATTCTGCAGGGAAATACCTGGTTGTGCTTGCATCATCCATCTGCACTTCCCAGCTCTCCTCAACCCCCCGCCCCCCCAAAAAAAGCTGCTCTGGGCCTCACTGAGCTACTTGGGTAACAGCAAGGGATTTAAATACAGTAAAGAAGATACTATAAGGAATCTCTGCAAGTACGGAGTTAAAATAAACCCCTCGCCTAGTCCAAAACCCATGCAGTGAATGATAGCTTTGGCTCATCACTAGACAAGCAATTTAGTGCTTCTCTCCGACTCTCAGCATCCCTTAAATGGTGACTATAAACCCATAAGTGTCTTGAGCTTTTTGTACTTTAATGGCAGTCTCATAATAAAGGAAAAATGGATTCAAACTTGAGGAGAAAGGGACAGAGGATCTAAAGGGCATGTAGGACTTTTTTTTTTTTTTTCTTGCATATTACAGGATTTCTCTTCAATGTTACTGCTGGAATTATTTTATTTTTTTTTTCCTCGGGGATAAATTTCACCTCAGCAGAAAGAGTCAGTGGATGAAAATAATACTGCCTCTCAACTCTACATAAGTCAAAGGGTTAAATTTTATCTTCACCTTCAATTATTCCCATTATCAATCAATCCAAAGAAATAACAATCACTAACCTACCCTTATCTGACATTAGCACGTACCAACCTTAACATGCTTTATAAGCCTGAGTTTTGGCTCACAGCTGGTGTGGAGCAGGCAAGCCAGTTTTACACTTTTTTTACTAACAGAGAAGCAAAAGCAAAAGAGAAATTACACACCTGCTGACAATCACTCCCAACTCCAAAGAAACAGTGTAAGAGATCTCAGAAAGGAAGGACAGTTGGAAAGGGGAAGGACAGTAATGGTAAGAGAGTGGGTTTTGATCCCCCTCACAGCAAGTGTGCTAAGGACCCTGGGATAAGCAGAGGAAAAGACATGTCAAAATGGATTATTTCAGAGAGCAGATTTTTTCAGAGAGCCATCAGGTTGGGAAACCACACTCTGTTCTTTTCAGAAAAAAAAAATAATCGTGCTTACTTCTGATAAAAGAAAATGAGTAGAAACTTGAATTTAATTTCAGAGTTTCCACTTTTCTATACAGATGAAGATGACGTTTAGCTGTATTGTACATTCATCGTGATGTATGAGGAACCCATTAGGCTAAGAAATGGCAGTTTCTATAGAAAACAGCATGCAAGAGACCATGTAACTATTACCATGTTTGCTCACCCTCAAGCTTCCTGCCCAACCAGGGCAGGGTCATACGAAGGGGTTGGCAGTATCAGCCCAGGACAAGAACCCAATAGATGCCTCAGGATTTGTAGTGACAAGTTTTTGCCTGTTTCCTCATCACACCTGTAGCATTCAGTTACATCTAAATGAGGGTGGAAAAGACCCGTCTTGACAAATAATCTGTTATTTCTTGTACAATTATTATTGTCATTTATAAAATGAAATAAACAATTATTTCCAGTATCTTCTAATGCTATTCCCAAATGGCTTTTTCTGAACTTTTGTATAAACTCTGTTATTTTCCGTGTAGGCCAGCAATGAATTAAAATTAAATGCATATTCAATAAATCATTTTATAATGTGACCAAAACAATATATTGGAGTTAGTCACACTAGTTCCTATGAAATGACCTAAAACTTTGTCCAGGATTTATAACTTCTATAAATTGGCAGAGGTAGGAGTCAGCTGAAAAATATGAAACAATTGAATGCTTTTGTTAAAAACATTTAACACTATATTTTTCATTTCTTTTAAACAATCACGGCTATAAATTTCCTGCAGGAGACATTATTTCCCACACAGTACAGAAATTACCTCTGGGATTTCATTTTACTCCAGACAAAGCATGAATTCTTTTGCAGTGTATGTGAATATCTGTGTGTATGTGTGTTGTTTATCATACAATAATTTAGCCTCCTGCAGTTTATGAATAATGGACGGAAGTTCTCATTGCTTCACTACAATGGTAGCCTTCTGAAATAGAGTAGTAGACCTATTTTCAATGTGAAGTAGGGGCCAGCATTTCATTAATTACTTTTGTCAGACTAGGACCAGGAATGTTTGTGTGGGAGAAAAAAAACCAAATAAACCAACACCAAAATGTACTATATCGTATAGGTGTCTTAATAATGAAATAAAATTATCCTAAATGGTAAAGAGATTATGTATGGCTGAGACAACAACTCTATTCAACACAATAGTTATAAGTGTATTTCAGTACTGATGCTACAGGTGTAAGATGTAAGCCATCATAAAGAAATAAACAAGAAGTTCACTTTTTACTGCCTCTCATTGACTATAACCTTTGGCAAAGCTCCTTATTAAAAGATGGTACAATCTTGCTAAAGCCAGGGACTGGGTCACAGAGTTCAGTTCTGTCACAGGGTTAATCGGTGACTTCAGTGTGTTTATCATAACTCCATTAGTAAAATGGTGACATGAGCTTTTCTTCCCCTCTTCCTCTTTTTTGTTTAGATTGCCATCTCTTCCCAGCGTATGGGAATGTCCCATAGAAATGACCTTCTGTTAACATATCTAGAATTTCTTTTAAACAGCTGAGAGAAGCAGGGAAGAGCAGACTACAGAGATAGGATGAAAGTCCCTGTAAATACAGAGAATTTTTCCTGTCTTTTCTTGCTCACACAAAAAAATCACGCAAAACCCCAGGCAAATGCTGCTACTGATAAAATAATAAAGATAATAAAACAGGATCAGTTTTCCAGGGTGAAATTACTAAAATTCTAATATATTTTCAAAAGAAAAAAAAAATATGTTCAAATGAAACATTACAGTTTCATATGGGTTTGTATCTCTATTTGGCTTTTCTAAAGAGAGCACATAGTTTGAACTTTGCCATTTTGCTTCCTTTTGTGCCACCACTATTTTAAATAGTATTATATTACATAAAATAATACATATAAACAATGAATCACAATCAAATGTGAAAATTTTCAGACTTTTTGTCATTTGGGGAATTTCTAAAATTTTGCATTGCCCACCAGAAATTCTGTTTACTGACCAAGATTTTTGTCTAACTTTTTGGTCTATACAATGGGAAAAGAACACGGACTAACTGAAAAGTGAGAGAAGACTAACAAAACAACACGCAAAAAGATCACAAATAAAAACTATGATGTAAATATATTGATAAATATGCAAATTGCCTCGATAACTGTCACACTAATTCTTCCTGTTAAAGGCATAGCATGGAAATTTTAGAATAGTGTAAGAATATCCCTTGATATGGAGATTTTTGGTAAAGAACACACACACAGTGTGGAGGGAAAACAGCAGCTTGCAAACCCTGCTAATTGTACATTAACATTGCCATTTTTTTCACATTGGTGTGACCACTGTGTTATCACCTACCCTAGTCAGATAAAAACTTTCCCAGGACATTGCTGCAATAAAGAATTACAGAAATGATGAAGGCACGGTCATAAATTCAGGCAGGGAACAACACTATGCTCCTTTCTTACTGACTATGAGAACCAACTGTTGAAACAGATGTAATGTAAACTGCAACTCTGTCACACATACTTTCAAGATGTGATGTCCTGGTCAAAGAAGGGTACAGATTTGTTTATCCTAAAAAAGAGACAAGAACACTGACCTTGAAGATCAGATCAAGCATAAAGTGGCCTAAAATAACAAACAAAATGTATGTCATATCTACAAGATTCATTTCTCAAGTTTATACATGAAATTCATGAGTAATTCTGGAGAGGTTGATCCCACAAAATGGTGTTGAGAATCCAGTTGCCAAGAAACTAACAGAGGAATTTTGGATGCTCAGCACCTTCCAGGATTGCCCTGATGGGAAAAAAAAATTCAGAATGCCCCATTAAACTAAATCAAACGGCTTAATACTTTGATAGGCTGTATGCTGCTTTATTTTTATTTTATTGGACTTATTTCTGGAGCAAGAAAGACTTACCCTCAGTTGAGGAGGTTAGGGAACACTTAAACTTGGCATATACAAATACATGGGCTGCAGCCATGAGAGCTGAGGGAGCTGGCTGATGTCGTTGCTGGATTATGGAAATTGAAAGAGGTTCCCGAGGAATGGAAGAAATAAAATCTCATCTCTGTCTTCAACAAGGGCAAGGAGGATCCAAGGAACTACCATCTGGTAAACCTCATCTCGATCCCGGTGAAGGCGATAGAGCAAGTAATCCTGGAAATAATTGTCAGACAATTGAAGGACAGAAATGTTACCAGCAGCAGTCAGCAAGGGGAAATCATGCCTGACCAACTTGATAGACTAGCTTGTTGGATGACGGGAGAGCAATGAATGGTGTTTACTTGGACTTTAGTAAGGCTTTCGACGCTCTCTCGCATAACAGGGGAGACTCCCAGACAAACTGATGAAGTACAGATTGGTGAAGTGGATTGAAAAACTGGCTGAACAGCTCTACCCAAAAGAGTGTAATCAGACACAGAAAACCCAGATGAAAACCAATCACTAGTGGTGTATCTCTGGGTCAATACTGCGTCCTTACCATTTGACCTCTTCTTTAATGACCTGGACAATGGGACAGAGCACACTCTCAGTGAGTTTTTAGATGATATGAAAAGTATAGGAGTGAGCACTACATGAGATGGTTGTGTTGCTGTTCAGAGAGATCTGGAGGAAGTGGCCGGAGAAACAGGCCAACAGGCATCTCATGAAGTTCAACACTGGGAAGTGCCAAATCCTGCCCCTAGGGAGGAATAATCCCAAGCACGGAATAACCCCAGGCACCAGTAGACAGAATAAAGATTAAGCCAGGCTGCTTCTCAGTATGGCCCAGTGATGGGATAAAAGGCAATGGGCACAAACTCAAACACATGAAATTCCATCTTAATACAAGAAAACACTTTTTTACTGTGAGGGTGATCAGATACTGGAATACGTTGCCCAGAATGACTGTGGAGTCTCCATCCTTGGAGATATTGAGAGCTTGAGTGGGCATGGTCCTGGGCAACTTGCTCTAGGTGACCCTGCTTGAGTAGGGAGTTTGAGCGAGATGATCTGAAGAGGTCCTTTCCAACCTTAATGATTCTGTGGCTTTATGATCCCAGATTAGCTTGAATGTAAATAAATCCAGCTTCAAAAAACAATCAAACAACAACAAAATCCCCGGATGGTAGGGGAGAATAATAAAATCTATGACAATACATTTTGCTTCTAAATTTTCCGTTAGATCCAGGTAAGTGATGTCTGATTATTTCCTGTAAATACTTGTTTGTTGTGGGTTTTTTTCCCAACCAGCTTTGTGATCCTCTTATACTTGACTTCTAAGTAAAATTGTGCATCTGAATTTCATTAGTGCAAATTTTACTCTCAAGCTTATATACTAATGAAAAACAAATTTTAAATTTTGCTTCCACAAGCAGTTTCTCTAGAAACATAGGATCAGAATTAGGTTTGTGTAGTAAGGGATGTACAAGTCTTACAGATTGTGACCAGTTGTAATCCATAAACACAGCTTGAATTCCAGCCCTTTAAGATTAAAAATGCTGACATGGAGAAAATAAAATTCATCCCAAGTAGACATGGTTTCCTATGCTTTTAGGAAAGAACTCCATAGGAGCTGCTTTTGTGTATTGCTTATACCTTATAAAGCTGTAGATGCCTTAACTAATCAATATCTGCTGCAATGTTAGGCACAAAGAAAATATTCTTATGCATATTATTTTTTATACCTACAAAAGTTAAGTGACTCACCCTGGCTGTGCACAAAACAATGACAACTTTGCATCAGGCACTCAGGAACACCTAGTATCTAGTCTATTTAGACACACCTATATCTTTTGAACTTCATGAATAAATCCACATTGTAATCACTGATGGAGAGATTGGATTGCAATATCCATACCTGCATTGTTCTCACCTTCTTAACTATAATCAAAGTTCAAAGACCTTTCCAAACATTTACAATCACTACAAGGTGTACTTTGAGTTAGGCAAAATTTATCCCCATAAAGAGAACATTCCTATTTTCGAGATTTATGAGGCACTTACACAGTGATAAGATTCGTGCTAACGCACTGCACAGGAGTGTATTTGACCCTTTGTGAACCCAAGGGTGTGTGTTATATATCAGAAGTTCTAAGACTGTGGTGGATTCAATAAAAGGCCTTGTCATTTTTTAAATCAATGGCAACATAAAGAGAGAAATACGTGGGTTTTTAAGCAATATGAATTACTTAGAGAAAAATCACATTTAATCACATTGCAGAAAAAAATGGAGAGAAGATAAACGATGCTTTTTTTCATTGGAAATTCCTTAGTATGACTATGAATGGCATGACAAAGAGACAGGAATATGAAAAGAAGCAATGCATGGCAAGTTGTTGAGACTTTTAGATCAAGGAGTGCAAGTCAGTCTGTCTGTAGTCTTTGCTTCAGGTGATACTGAAACCTGCTGTATGCTGCATATCTAGTTTATATTTCACATACTATAAAAGTGCAGGGTGCAGGAAACATGTCACAATGACAGAAGGGAACAGTGTTGAGGGATTTCCCATGAGTTTTATGTTGATTTGATTTACACAAGGCAATATAAACCCAAATGTACTGCTCATCCGTTCACAAAGGAAATAAGCACTAAACTTGAACAACTGCTTTGTCAAAGATAGAAAAAAAAAATGACATGAGGGCACAGTAGTTTCCCAATATAAAATGTTTGGAATGGAACTAGCAGTTTTTCAAAGATCTTACTTGTTTCCATTATGGAATTCATTAGCAATCCCAAACTATGGGTTTACATGAGAGATTTTGAGGCAATACTGCCATTCCAAACAGTGGCTATACAGAAAGATATACATTGTCCATCTTCATAGAACCGTTTCTATGATGAGACAAAACCAACAGACCGTAACACTCTTCAGATTTCTGAGTAGAAAATGTAAACTTGCAGCAGTGAGTCAGAAAGATTAGCACAGAAATTCTTACTACAACCAGCCTGGCAAACCAAAAACTGAGCTGTTGTCAATACATTTATTCCATTCATCCCCAAATAGCATAGAATCTGCCTAATGAAATAAAACCCTAAAAAGATGAAGTTTTAAATGTAGCCTCTAATTCGCTTACCACATTTCTCATTTTAAAATAAGGAAAGAGGGAGAGCAGACATGATTCCTTACTCTATTTTCTGTAACTGAGTATTCACACTGATCATTACACAGCACAAAGATTCAGGAACTGCTTACAGTGATTTATCTTTACACAGAAAGAAATAGTTAATCAGTAGCATTTATCTTGTTGGAGAGAACAGTTAATTGTACACTTAATTCTAAACCAACACAAACCTCTATTGTATTCAGCTATAACAAAGTGTATAAAAAATGCACCACAAAGTTCAGGCAAAGACGTCAGCAGAACCGCAGAGGTGTTACATGCAATAGATCTGGAAATCAGGGAGGCTGGGAGCAGAAAGCAGGACCTCATACCACAGGCATAAGCATGCATTGAAGGCACGCTCTTTCCCAAGACCTTATTATAGTTCCAACTTCTAGTGAGCATAGCAGTACAGCTGGTCAGAACTGATACACAGCTCAAGCCAACTTGAAATATATTATAGAAATGTGCTGAATCTATTTCTCCACAGGGCAGTATTTTGAATATGTGTATTGCTTCAAAAAGGAAACAAATGATACTTCAGGAAGCATCTTATGATGTTTCTGGACTGAAGGATGCCCTATGTCTATGCTCTCAGCTGAGCAGAGACAAGATAACTGCTTACTGGGAAAGAGGGAGGGAAGGGTTGCAGTTCATCAGCAACGGTGACCACAGTTCTTGAAGGCTTGTGTGTATTTAAGCTTACACATGGTTGCACAAGCTGCACAAGTGTACTTATAAGCAGGGAATACTTCTACAATATTGAGCTAAGAAGCCTTAAACTTTGACCATTTACTCGTGCCTCGATATTGCACAGGTCCATCCAAACACAACAGGCATTCCCTTTAAGGTGCCTTTGAACCACTGAGAGAAGCAGAGGAAGAAGAGCTCCAAATGTTAGCTTGGATTTTAGTGAACGTTTAGCCTGTTAAAGTGTGAATGGTTGGGACACTCTCAAACTGGATTTTAACATGGGAACACTCTCAAACTGGGTTTTAACCATTTAGCCTGTTAAAGTGTGAATGGTTCATGGGAACACTCTCAAACTGGGTTTTAACCAGCTGCTTCCAGTATTAATAACAACGTAGCCCTGGGAATGTAGAGCTTAATTTCTTCCACAGGTTATGTAGGCTGTGCAGAGATCCAGATTATCAATTCCAAGGGTTTAAAGGCAGGTAAGTCTGAATGAGATGCCTTTACATCTGACAGCACGGACACACTTGACAGTGCAGAGGAGAAACACAAGCTGTACAATTCAGCATGTTCAAGGAAGCCCAAATCCCAAGGAAATGTGCAATGAGGTCTTTCACAGCGGAAGTGTCGATGTTCTCACAGTGTAGGAGCTTGTAAAAGAAAGTATGCAGGTCAAAGATCAGAAAAAAAAAATCTCTACCCATGTTAGCCTCAATGATAAATCCTCCTGCTCAAAACCCCACTGAAATCATGGATAAATTAGATGGTTAAATTGAAATTACTGTTGGACATGGTGGTCAATTATTCCCCAGATTCCCAGTGGATTACAGTTTTCCAGTGAAACCGCTATTTCTGCAAAAAGAGATGTTAGAAATGTGCATTATGCAGTTTAAATGCTATTGAAACAGATGCCAAGAAAAACACTTGTGCCTGGCTGACATGGGAGATAATTTGGCAAGTTACAGAAAAGTTTTACTGTACACCCCAATTTATTGCTGTGTATACAAAGCTATCCTTTAAGCGAAAAGCTATGCTAAACTGTAACAAGTTTATATTTTATGCTGAAGAAGAAAAGGTGACAAGGAAACAGAATATTTTTCAGTATTAAAGTGTATGACGAGAAACTATTTTCTACCAGAGCACGACCATTGGAATGCTTTTGTGGTAGAGAACTTTTTGTTTTGGTAAGTTTTAAAGCCTGTAGGTCATCTGGAGACTGTTTCCAGCCCAGGAAGTTTTTGAGCGTGTGGTTAGACCACAAAGTGATCTAAAACGCTTTAAGAAAATGTGGTTTCTTTTTCCTCCTAAATTTCTTTATGTCACATTTGTCAACAAACACATCACTGCACAAATGGCATGTGATCCCCCAGCAA